GTATCATATTAAAAAATGTCGAAAATGAGATATAATGCTTGGCGCCCGTCTATAACTTGGGAAGCAGCACTCGAATTTTAATAAAATTTTCGCACAAGGTTGCCATCTAATTTTTTGGTGTTAGCAATTTATGTGTTTTTGACCCCGATCATTCTAGGCGCCTATTAGACTTGTCTCATACATAATAGATTTCTCCGTATCCTTGGCCTTAAAACTGGAAATTTGATATACCTAATATATGGCCATAGCCTAATCCTTAATGGACTGATAACAGCGTTACGAGGAAGTGTAGGGTCAACCTATACTTGACGCCATTTTTTTATCGTACGTCAAGATCCACCGGTAAAATGAATCCTTCCAATGTTAAAAATTATAAATTATTTTTATTGGCAAGATAAGCACACACAAAAAAATTACAATGCTCCGAAACATGAACAAATTCTAGCTGATTTCCTGGCAAACGGCAAAATTCTGATCCTTCTGGTGAATAGGAAAATCCGCTCTTTCATTGACAAGGAATAAAATACAATACTTCTTTACCTAGACCTCACCGTGATGCCTTTCGAGCTAGCATCCTGATTCGAAAGGAGTTCTTAAGAAGAACAGAAATAGAAAACTGTTTAATACACTTTACAAAATGAAGTAAATTCTATATGTTTCATATTATTCAGTCATCAGCCTCTATAAAAGGCTTCATTGTTTATTCAAATAAATTCATAGACACCTGTATCATCCTGTAGGAAGAAGAATCTTTGAGAAATATAGGAGTAGAAATTAAATGTCTATAACACGGGCAGAGATTCTGGACATCTGTTATGTAAGGAATCTTGGTATATGGATAAGAAGGAGTTTGCTTGGTGATAATCTTATGAAACATGTAAATTGAATGCAGGATCCCTCGATTTTCGTTCGTAAAGCCGCGTACAGACCGAAAATCCAACGGCGAGCAAACATGTGATGTTGGCGTTTGTTGTTGGAAGGCATGGGAATACGGTCTCGGTCTGTACGCGGCTTAACAGTTGTAGGTCAGAGTAATGTTGAGTCACATGATCTCGACACTTCGCGTGAATTTTGTAATCTGTCTTCATTGCGCTTACGTAATCATTTTACTACTATTTAGGACTTTAAGGTTACTGTATCCTCTTTTCAACATATAATATGTGACATGATCCGAGAAGCTGAATGGATAATCTTGGTGCACACCCAAATTTTTTGTTACAACTTTCATTTTTTATGCTAATATTTATTTTGCTAAGGCATCTGTTCTAAGCCTTACTCCTACTAAAGAGCATGACCACTGATTCCGATGGGTTCAGTCTCAGACAGTACTTCTCAGATTTCAATGCTAAAGTTTTCAAATCCTCATTCAGTTGTCTCAATTATGTGAGTACCACTCGCCGTAAACAAACAATCAAACCCTTCTTCATGGTAGTCACGGTCAGATTTTTGTCTCCGTGACGAAACATTGCTAAGATAGAATAACCTTACTTTTATAGATTTAATCACCTTCCAGACCGGCATTTCTATCGGCAGAAGGGCCTTTTATGCCTTTGTATATTACCAATAATGATAAGAAGTAAGGAGTCCGCTTCTTCCACAATCTCCACGAAGAAGCGGAACACAAATCTAATTTCTCGAATAAACATCTCTGCTTGCTTCATTATATTATTTTCTGTTTCATTTCGGATTTCGCAGCGAAGCAGCAGCAGCGCCAGCGCCTTCTTTCATGCTTTTATGCTCATTATTGCCCGCCTTACAATTCTATAATAACGTTTTCCGTACAATAAACACAGAGGACTCTAAAATACCAATCGCAGAATTGATTCCCTCCTGTTTAACTTCCTTTCTGAAAGAGAATTTTATTTCAGCGAATTTTCCTAATTAAATTACACAAGCCGACGTCGGCACAGCAGCCATGGAAAAATATTATGTATATAAAATGTTTATCCCTAGAACCGTTCCAGAGCACGTATTGATTTTATCTGAGACGTAAGAGAACATCGGGTACAAAGCTCTGTAGTGTGGATATAGAATATTTTGCAATATCTAAGTACGTAGGGGGCCTTTCAGGAATTACGTAAGCAGGCTTCTTACAATCATTAACCCCCTTTGCCAGCAAAAGTAAGCATACCTCTTACTTCCGAGCATACGTAAACTATTTGGTACATTTTAAAATTTGAAGCAAGTATTAGCTTTCATACACATAATGTCATTGAGAGCCGTATCGTCAGTCGTTCGTGCAATAATTGTAGATCGCCTTTATGGCCTCCTTAATTTTCATAGTATTTTCTCTCCTTCGGAAAGGCTGGGGTATTTATAGATTTCTACTGTTCCGTGTCAACGTCAGCACTCTAGTAGCTATTTTTTCTTTCTGAATTTCACGAAATTTCAGGCTTATAACAGATCATATATAAATTAAAAGCATGAACAATTTCATGCAAGTAGATATTTGAAGTATAATCTCAAAATGGGGCTGACCCAGAATAGTAGAAAACTATGAAAATCAAGGAGGCCATAAAGGGGTCCTACAATTGTAGGAACGACTGACGATATGGCGCTTAATGTATAGAAAATCAGGAAGATCTGAACCTCTTGAACCTTCTTATTCTGTAAGTGGTTTGATCAACTCGGACGATGGGTTTCTAGGAAAGTTACTGTTACACGTCGTATAAATACTGTACCTTCATGACTTCTTTGCATGAAAAACACTCATCCGCACACACTAAAATGAACGATTCATAAAATTAATGTTTTAAAACAAAAGATAATACGGATACAATGATTTGACCTCGCATGGCTCCACGATTGTTCTTGATAGTATCCAGTGTTATTTGGGGCTCGGTATTGAAAACAACCATTGTGATAACGTGGATTCGATCCGTGGGCTAAAATTAACAAGTGCGTAGAACTTTTGATTGTGCGGGAAGACTTTTTTATTTGTTGTGAAAAGTTTGGTTAAGTGCCAAGTTTTTAAGTCAATATGAATAATAGATATACATAAAGAATTGGTACTACTACTACTTCTACTACTAGTACTTACATTGCAGCCTAATAGCATTTAATTTACTTACTTTGATAAACAAGGTTGCTTTTATACCAATATATAGTAACTTCATGTTGTTGAAACCATAAATAGCGTAGTTGGACCATGGAAAGCCATCCATCTAAAATAATTTTGAAAATATTTGAGTATTTTGTATCAGAATATTCTATTGTACATATCTAATATTTAAGTTTAACGAAAGACCCTTATATGTATTTGAAGTAACGTTACTTTCAAGTTAAACGATTGACTTACTATATCGACCTTGTTTGGATCCTTGTTCCAAAACTGTTACGAAGAGTTGAATAAAACTCACATTAAGTAAATAATGATTTATTCTGCAATAAAGAAAAAATATCTTATGAGTTAAATAAGAAAACAAAGTATTACTTAATAACTTGTTTCAATTATCTTGTATATGAATGAACAATGACTTTTTAGTCGCGTGGCCTTGTTTATTTTTAAAAAATCACTCTTTACACAAACGTAACGACTTCAGAAAAGCTAAGAATATATCTCTAGATTGGACGCTTATATATTTTGTACTATTGATCTGCTTTAGATGAATATGTTGATTCCATATTCATGAATGAGCTGGATCTCTCCAATATTTGTAGTTATCAGAATACGGAAATTGTGAGGTGATTACCAATCTTAGAAGCAAATAGCGGTCAGTTGCTGTTCGGAGACATCTCCAAACTAGGATTAGTGCCGTAAATTAATTTCGATTTAGGAATGGGCATTCTAAATATGATGAATTTGTGGTGGGATTTAAATCGGTCTGCTAAGTCGCAGGAGTTCGCTATTCAAATATTGATTTGAATTTGATGGAACGTAACCAGATTACGACTCTTAATGATTAACAAAAACGTTTTTCAATATGCTGGTTCAGTCTTTAAGCATCAGTTTCAAAACTCATGTGCGTCCTCGTTTCCTTTTTTTATAATTGATACTTCCTCCGGATAACTGTGATCCAACAGGTTGTATAGCTTGTTCTCCAAAAAGAAGTTAACCCTTGTTGGGTGAGGAGGCACGGATGATAGACTACAAGATCTACTAGTAAAATTTAGCATACTCTGCCACTGTAACGAAAACCCATGGTCACTAATAAAGTAATTTATTGCTTGTTCTCACACTAATTTATAACAAAATAGTTGGTGGATCCACATCGCTGTCTCACTGCCGATTAGACTGCCTCTCTGCCTAGACACAGTTGCCTCTACAAACTTCGAGTTGTAATCGAGGTTAGTTCCAGATGTTCTAGGTCTGTAGTTCCGCTGGTCGCCGATAGATAGCACTAGTGTGCATCCCGCCAGCCACAGCACGGTTCTTATTGCCGTCAACAGCCTCCTCAGGTTTGTTCTTTAGGGACAAAGAAGATTTCGAAAACTATGAGGTCTACGTCTAAGTTTGTTCAATAAGAAACATTCAGAATTTCTCGCAGAATACAAATATCCAATAAAATGTATAGCACTCAATAAGAAAAACAAAAGCTGCTATCAGTTTCTGAAAAACTGTAGATTTGGCAACATCGCGGATATCTTCAACGGATCTGCCGTGATTTCGAACCTAAACTTACTGATTTTTTTTTAAATTATATGAGTCATTCGGTATTCGATGCGCTCCAAACTTTTGTTACAGTCTGTATAACAATAATAATGTTTGTAAATGTGTGTATCAACTGAATATTTTTTAAGTGCTACCGTGATTTTTAGCATTGGTAATGATTCAACTTACAAAGGGAGTGCATTGAGATACAAAACTGACTGGTACTTAAAGCTTCTATAGAAAAAAATTGTTGAGTGGAAAGGCATAGCCAGATATAAGTATCTCTTACATCTAAATCATGGAGGTTGTACCTGAAAATTAATTTGTTTTTGAGTTATGGATTGATTAATCGATTTATGTACACAAATTAGCAAATATGAGCATATATAATTTCTTCTTTCTCTTTCAGAAATATGTCTTCGAAACGAAAGTCCCCTCCGACGAAATTACACGAAGGCACACCGACCACGACCAGCTCGACAACCTCTTTCTGCCTTCCAACGGACCCCAGCGCCCTCAACAACCCTCCGACCTCAGCGGGTAGTGGCAGCGAAGGGGGCGGCCTTGAAACCGACCTCGACGAGACCAGTAGCAACATCAGCGACGTGGACACTCCCCACCACCCCCCGCAACCCTTTTACAAGCTCTCCGGGTCTTCGTCCGCGGGAAGTGTCTCCGGGTCTGAGCCGGAAGATATTGAGGAGGAGCGGACTCCTCCCAACAAGACTGCTAGGATGATGTGCTCTACGGAACCCAACATCCTCATGTCGACGAGTATCCAAGCGTTGTCGTTACACGCAGATCATCCTGAAAGACGGAGAAACTCTTCGGAGTGCAGTAGTCCTAGTTCGGAAGGGAAGATGCATTTGTACCATAATAACAACAATAGTTTATTGAATAATAATTCGCACCCGTTGAAAAGGTCTATGGACGATGTGTTGAAAAGGTTGACCTCGAAAATTAATAATAGTACAATTAAGGAAGAGAAAAGGCCGACACCGTCTTCAACACCAAATTCAACGCATAACTCGTAAGTACCATTACGTTTTCTTACTAGTATAAAGTGTACGTGCAAATGTTGAAAATTTCAAAATCGCGGATGGGCGCCAAATTGAAACATTTTTTATATAGAATTTACCTCATGTCGAAGCTCCTCATGGGTAATCTGTAACTCGAGAATATAAAATCGCTATTTTTCCAAATAACAAACTGACGGGCTGCTTAAGTTAGGGTTTTTGCTCATTGGTTGGCTTATAACTCTACAATCATCGGAACACTATTTATATAGTAATCCTTGTCATGTTTGTCTGGCCAATCAAACCACATGTGTTTAAATTTCTTCTTTATTTAGGTAACAATGGTGACATTCTTCCGTAAAAATGACACATCTTAGACAATATATTTTATTTATCTGCCTTGGTGACATTCCGTTTGTTTTTTCTTTTCATTTTCTCATTCCTATACAGTGCGATACTACATTAGCCTGAAAGGCATGTAACCAGTTGTGTTTGCGCAAATTTTTAGATGACACCACGCACCGCTCATAAAAGGTTGTTCTAGCCCTCCAAGAAGCGATCATGAGGTTATCTGTCGTTAAAGTTGAATTAATTTTAATGCGAAATTAACTGATGTATATGGTGTAAGTAAGCAAGACGGTATCTACTTTTGGTATAACCGGAAGTGCGACCATTAATCGCATGCTAATATCAATGTTAGCAAAACGACAAATTTTTGAAACTGCCTTACAGCTATTTTGCGACCGATCGTTCGCCGCGGTTTTTCTTTGTTCAAACTAAAGCTGTTACTACTTCCTTTGATTATCCTCATAACTAACATAGCTCTTTTTATGTTTGTCTTAAAGCGTTGAAAGCTTTGGTTCAGTTTGTTCACTTCTGCCCGTTTTCATTGCACCAGACATTTCGCGGCATTTTTTTATTCGTGTTTTTATCCTCACAATTTAGTTTGAAAGATAAGCAATGGCAAAGGTAAAAAAAAAACAAGCTAAGAAACCGTCTAAAAGTGACACTGACCTTAAAAAGCTAATCTGCGCCTATGTTTTTAACATCCATTATGGTTATAGGATCCGTATCGCATTTCACAGACAATAAGATAACCTGATTTATATTTAAACTGCAATCAAATTATTTTGAGCGAATTTAGAAACAAATTCTGATGCGTAGATTGTATGGAGTTTGGAGTATGTTTCTACTATAACACAATGAGTACAATATCGGTTTGCCTTGACCTCCCATCGGTTACTGATAAATGACATAACCTATTTCTTTTCCGCCTTCTCTTATGTCAGCTATGTTGCCAATAGTTTATATATCATTGTTATATGAAGCGTTCAGTTATAGCAATCATCACGTTTTTAGTTCATAGCAAATCCATATTTAATCATTGAATATTGCTAAATAATCAACAGAATGGGAATCTTCTATATCCTCTGCATTGCTGAGATTCTTCTCATTGCCATTAATTTTTATATACTAAAATTATGCCCGGTGCCTTGAAATCTTTCCGAGGATTATTTGTCTCAAATCTTTCAATCTTCTAGTTGGGATTTTACTCGCTAGGAGTGTGTAAGAAAATTTCCCAAACGAATGCGAGATTTTTATTTCGTCTAATATCTCAGCTGTTCAAAAATGACTGTATATCGTGGTAAGTCATTCATTGATCAGTTTGGAATAATAAATTATAGCTGACAAACAAGTTCCTTAATTCTCCTTCAAATCTTCTAAGGCTGCAAGTCACATTATACAGGGTGCAGCAGCATAAATTTTTTCAAAACCTAATAAAACCCATTGAAGTTTGAATCAGAACATTTTTATTTGTTTTTTATAATGTAGGATCATGCCATTTCCGGCGTTTGACATAACGTTTGCCAGCACAGTAGGCGTTATGTTGGCAATTTCTTCCCGGATCTTGGTTTTAAATCTTGTAGGGTCCTTGGTCGGTTCTGGTGCACAGGAGATTTAAAAAACCCATAGAAGAAACACAATGTTCCTAATCGGAAAAACGGGCTGCTCCTAAATAGGATGTGGCACTTGGGAAGTGTTTTCTCAAAACAGCCATCGATGCTCTTGAAGTGTGTGCCGTTGCACCGTCCTGTTGGCATACCAGTTCGAATTCACTGACACTGCGACTTCATTTTCCTCAAAAACCCAGGTACCAATACTTCCAGCTGAGGAAATTGCAAACTACAATGTGATTTTAGTTGAATGCAAAGGTCTTTGAGGCAATTCTTGAGGATTGGTGTCAGCCCTGTAGCGCATGTTTTGTTTGTTGACGGATCCACACAAATGAAAATGGCCTTCATCACTGAAACAATCAACAGCCTTACACGCGTTCATCCAAGAATTGAAGTGACGTTCAGAAAGTTCCTGCACAATTCTCATCTCGTATGAATTGAAATGAAGATAGTCATGAACAATTCTCCTCGCAGAATGATCGGAGATCAAGGGCAGACACTTTGGTAATTGCGACGTTGAAGCTCTCACTGCCTTAGCGTTTTCCGCAGAGGATGTGTCAAGGGCCTCCAGTTCATGTCGCACTTGAAGTGTGTCTGGCGTTGACGAGGCTGAGTCAGAGCGATTCCGGAAGGCAAGCTGAGTTGCACGCATAACATACGCTCGCAATGTAATTAGGAGCATACTCCTCACTATTCTAACGCACGATGGTAACTGAACTGTATCGGGACAAAACTTTCTAGTCCCGCCTCTAGAACGAGACCACCAGCGCATCGCCACATGAATGGACTGAATGGTGCGCATTTTAAGAAATGAAGTTAGGCTTCCGCACCCTGTACAATATCGATTATGAAATTAGTAACTCACTTATTATCAATGCTGAATCGATGTTATTGACCTATAAGTTACGCGATTGCTCCAGTTGCATCACTTTGATTGGAGAAGCTTACGTTCACGTGAAATATTCTAAAAATAGTTTTGTAATTTTTTTGGGTAATTCTGACTGAAGAAGGTCCTTAGTACTGCAATATAATGTTTGAAAAAGCGTAAAAGTTGCGATCTTCACTGTTTAAAATGCTCGGTGTTTTCAAAGCAATTTTTAACCTTGCTTGCTAGGCTAACAGATGGCGAACTTGATTTTCTAAGACTATACCTGATGTAATAAGTCTACGTGCGTCTATTTGTTTCTTATTTCCCAAATTATGTGCTCAGTTGGTAGATAATGTGACCTCAGTGTGGTTCTTTCTACATTGGTCTTTGACCCAAACGGTTGAGGTGTCATCCGTTGATTCCTTTTTTAAATTGGTATTAAAACTACACTCTTCAATCTCTTCAATAAAATTTAACACTTGATTCTTTATTCAGAAGAATACGCCTTCCGATTATTTATGAAAAAGAATTTCAGTTAAATGGCTGCAGCGGCTATTCTGGCCATCTTCCATCTTCTTAACTCAATTTTGTAGCACACTTCCGATAGTTTGTGGGTGTATTTAATCAATACATCGACGGATATTTTCCTTAAGAACATCAATTGTTTGAGGATCGTTAGTGTAACAGCGGCCCTTAATAGTACCCCATAGGAGGTAATTCATGGACGTCAAATTACAGGTGCGGGCTGGCCAATGAACGTCTCCAAAACGGCTGATAACGCGATGACCGAACTTAATGTATAAAAGATCGATTGTTTCAAGGCTGGTGTAGTGGCCACAAAAAACTTCTCAACATGTCTCTACCGTCATGCTGTTACCACCTTCATCTTGAAAAACGTAGGGACCAATAATCCCACCAATTAAAAAGAACCACCAAACAGTTACTCTTTTTGGATGCATTGGTTTTTCTATGACGACATGTCTGTACCTCAGAGCCAGACTAAGTTAAGTCCTAATAAGTAGTTTAGAGTCTTAGAGCCCACACAGAGAAACGATATCGAAGCACAAGTTGCACCTTGTAAGGAAATAATTACAGATCGTTATGCAATATTCTCCGCACAGGAGTGCGACTGATGCCCACTTGTTGCGCTCTGTGACGAGTTGACATTCTTGCGTTTTCACGCACACTCTGGGCAACAGCAGCTGTACGTACGGTCGAACACGCTCATACCTTCTGTTTTCCACAAGCACGCCAGTTTCCCGAACCTTCTTCACGAATGTTGGTATACCAGTCGCGGACGGAGATTCAGGAGCGACCAAATAGTCTTATCGATTTTCGCAAAGTTTCTGCAACAAAGCACTCACTTTGAAAATAGTTTTTCCAAATGTCTTACCATTGTTCAAGATTAAAACGGTCCACTGCTTACAGCGGAAGCGTGACACAATATATCTGTCAATATGTTGAGCATGGAAGTGTTTCCAACTGTCAAAATAATATCAACTTAAAAGAAAACAACTAATGACCCACCTAGATCGTTTCGGAGTGTTAATGCAGACAGTTCCCCTCAGCTCGATAGTTTAGGTGTAACTGCAGCAACGAGTAAATCTCCAAGAAAAATTTACCAATGCATGCCGATTTCTATCAAAATTTCCACACCCGGGCTGTGAAATTGCTTCACTAACGACGGTTGTAGCCGCTAACTGCTACACGAGAGTAAAGGAAATAGCACCAAGTCACGTTCAGCTCTCGTATTTACGGAACGGAAAATGATGAGTTTTAACCTCTATAACGAAACAATTCCCATTCCTTGGCCATCCGTGCGTTGACCATACTGCACGCCCTCTATTGTCGAACAGAAATATCAGTCACATCCTGGCAATAACCTTCAAAGAGATGGAGAGTGGAGTATGATCCTCCATCACAGTACCATTAGAACAAGAGAAGTTTTGCGATAAAAATAAAATTCAATATTCTCAAGAACTGTTATAAGATTATTATTCTAAATAAGAAAAACGTTGTAATAATTTACTTTATCAAGATATAGCTAATTTTTAGTCGACCATAAAAAGAAATTGTAACAACTTGAATTATTTGCATATTGTTTGGTTTGTAACGCCTTCTGATGTCTGTTGAAAAGTATAATCGATTCAGCTCAAGAAGATAGTGAAGTTATTATGGTAACAACATTCATAGACTCCACAATACAGATTCTCCTCCGCCACAAGAGACTTGGCAACCCTGCAGACTTCCGTTATCTCGTCACCATTCATAATTAATAATTGTTCCAAATAAATTATTACAATTATATGAGTATGTATCGGAAACGACCGATCACATTTATAATCAGATGGTTGTGTCATCTTTTCTAGTTACGGCTTCCATACACAAACAAAAAGTCATCCAGTGCTGCTGACAACTGCGCTTTTGTTCCACCACGTTATGTCGTAGGCAGTTAAATTTTATTAACCCATCCATAGTTATTGTTACTATTTGTGATTGTGACATTTGTCTTTGATCTTTCGGCTATCTGAATTAACGCGGTTATGATTCGGGTTATTGTTCATGGAAAGACAATTAGGTACTGAACGATTTCAGCTCTATTTTTGGACCAATTTTCATATGGTTGCGATGACGCATTTAACGCATCTTGTTCGCGGACGATAACGACACTGTCAGCTTGATACCATTCCGTTTTGAATTATTGCACAAGTTTTGTACTTGACTAGACTGAAATAAAATTGCTAAAAAAAAAATTTTAAAATGAGACATTATGTTTTTTGGATGTTATATGACATGTACAGCACGTAAAATCCATGTCACACACATTTTCGTCGGTCCGTCTGTCCACAAATAAATATGACTGCACCTCCCACGCAACGCCATCATCAGCCGTACATAGAAAATATTTTTTATGGACCAATGTATTGGGAAATCTATGATGTGTGAAATATGTGTAAAAGGTGCGTAGAATTACCAAGATTGGAACCATATAAATAGGTATACTATCATCAAAAAATTGAAAAACACCCTCCACAGTCACCTACAACCCCCACTCCCAAATTTTGTACCCCTAAAAAACTTTTCAGAAATAATCAGGGTCCAAGGATCCTCTGAAACAGCAAGAGAAGAAGGTTGGGCTATTTTCAAAAAATACAAAAGATTTTCGTCCTTGGCATAGTAATAACTTTGTGTGAAAATGTAATCCAAATCCGAGCAGTCATAGGCGGTCCAAATATTAGCGAACAAACCAACAGACATACAGTGAGTGACATGCTTTTTCATGGTGTTCGAGTATATGTCACGTAACATTCAAAAAACATAATATCTCATTTTAGAACTTTTTCACGATCGCAATACTTCCTCGCCAGTAGGCATGGGAAGTAAAATTCAAATCCAAATATTTCTGTCGTTCAAAGCTTTTCTGACTACGACATTTCTAGTACGAATATTAGCCTTGATCAATTTCCATAAATTTATCACACCTTCATGCACGTCCTCCTTCTTGAATCATAATGCTCTAAATGTACGCAATTATTTTAAACAGTGCCTTTCTTGGAGGTTTGGTAAGCCATTAAGTGATTTTTCACGCATCTTGTTGTTACGGAAGGTATTATCCGTTTAACAGTAATTGAATCTATCCTGTTCAGAATAATCTATCCAGCATCGTATGATGTTCTCTGTACAAATTACCGATCCAAGTAATTTCATGCAAATGGAAAAATTTTATATTCCGTGGAAGCCGATGTTAGAGAGTAGAATGCATAAGTAGTTTTACGTAGGTATATACAAGGCACGACAGCGGTGATTTTATTTATTTTCACATAACTAGAAGATTCTATTAACATAATAGTTGGAGATCAAGGAATCTAATCAAGCTGCATCATTTATTTTCTTGTTGGGTATATAAGAGAAGTTGCGCCCATGCATATTTATAGACTTTCATCAAAAAAGAGAATGTCGGATGTTGTTGTAGCCACTACTGTTGTATCATCATTAGGCATAATAGCCATGTGACCCTGTGAGGTGGTTTTTCGAACTTCAGTGAGGTCAATTTTCCAGTACAATTTTCAACCTCCGAAACATAAGCGAACGGCTGACGCCGATGGCGAGCACTGCCGTTTACAGCATCAAGCGGCGGCAAATCGACGCTTACGCCGTAGAGGTTCGGACGTCTTTCCAACAATGAATTTCCTTCCCCTACAACTTGTCTGGTTTCTGGGCCACCAGACCTGACAGACTAACGACAGACACAGACATTACAGTGACTATGACCTAAAGGCTAAGGTCCTCCGGACTGCCTGGAGAAGCAACGACGAGTAGTAACAATGAATTTCCGAAAGAAAATAATTTAGTAAAACGATCGACTCGCTACCGGCAGGAGTAGAGTAATTTGTAGAGTGCATGAGGCACAATACGTTAACAAGATATGATGCATATTTAGATGTGCTCACTGTGTAATCCTATTGTCATGGCAGATGATGTGAAAAGGGTCAATGTTGCCAGATCGACAGTAACTGCCGGTAGGGCAGGGAGAGATTGACTACGGGCTAATTATATGAGACTGTTTGACGCGTTGGGTAGTAAGTGCAGAGTCAACCTACTTGATGCCATTTTTTTAAACAGCAATTCTGTAGTCAAGCTCAACTAGAGGAATATCGAACTTCAAAAGTTAAAGCTTCGTAGTCTTCTCTGCTTCAAGTATATTTTGATGTGGTGTATAGAAAAGAAAAACTGAATATTCGCATTCGTATCAACATAATCATATCAACAGTAGATATTCGCATCCGCGAATGCCTAAAAAATCGATATTATTTTCTTTAGACTCCGACTACCACGAAGGCCTAAGGCCTAAACACCCATGGGTACCGTGTGGCTTATAGGGGGATATAGGGGAAAGGGGGACAATCACAACATCCATAGCCAAGAGAAACATTTTTCTTCGGACGGGATTCGAACTCGCACAGCGCACGACGACTGATTAGGAGACCGGATACTCTACTATTGCGGCCACCGCTGCTGTCTGAGGATTCGCTAAGTCCTAATAGCGATACATTCACAACGTACTGAACATCTAGTACTTGATAGCATCTATATTTTATACGTATTGTAAATCAGGTGAGAATTTTTTTGCTTCCTACAGAAATACAAGTATACAATTCCAAGTCTATCTTACACAGAACGAATACCGAAGCAAGTTCCATTATTCGTGAGCTTCGTGCGCACGGCAGCTCTCTTCATATCAAAGCCCCGTCCATTATTCCAGATAATGTAGGCATTTCCCTTTCAGAGCCAGACCAAGACAAATGTACTCCCGCTTTTTTATCGTTTTTTGTTTGATGTACCGGGCATTTGCATTTACACTGTTTCTTTTAATTCCGCCCCACAATGAAGATTTTTCAGATAACGATCTTTTTGCGATGGGGACCTGGAGCCGGCGACTCGGGAGTCAAACAGGGGTGGACTCAAGCGAATTTCATACAGAGTCGGACGAATTTAGTGATTTTGAAATAAGTAATACATTTCATTAAAATCAGCATTTGAGGTTAAGCTTCAATGCTTATTCTTGTGAAGTTCACTTGGTGTTTTTGAGCAGGAATATTCTGTCAAAATATTATGAAATACGATGCAAATCACAATGTTTCAATGCTTAAACCTGTTGAAATGAAAGCGCGTGTTACATGAAAGTGCATGTTATTATCTCCAGATGGCCTATTTTACTTTGTTTTCATAATGCACACATTACTCTATCGACTTTCCAACTTTTTTCGTTGGTATTTTACTCGAAGAGTCTTCATTGCTCTTGTTTGGCTGCTTCGGTATACTTTTCCTTATTTTTATTCTGAGCAGTAGCGGGACAATCCGGCGTTACCCGTTGTCGAACTAAAAAGCTCCGATAGTTACGGAGAATAGGGCAGGACTTATTTCGTAAGATTATATGTTCCTTATTCAGCACTGTTGCCGGATTTGTAAAGCTGGATAAGCTTAATTAAAATAATTTCAAGTTATAAAAACACATGGTCAAAATATATAATAGAAATGTGAGTTTTTGACCACAGATAAAAATTAATGCAAGAAAGGGGCCATGCCTTAAATAACTTGAATTGAATGCTGGTTTTGTGGTCACTTGTCCTTCGATAGTTCTATGATTCTAAACTTAGGTATTTATTTCTGGTCCGTTTTGGACACAAATATTAACAAAACTTTTCTATGAAAAATTTAACAAGATTTTGAAAATGTATAATGACTGTCAGTAATCAGTACTGTCAAATTATAAAACTCTTATTTCGTCGATATTCGTTATTTGCTGTCGATGTAAAAAATAACGTAGCGGAAGGATTGACAATTCGTTATTACTGCTGCATTAAAAACTCTCTTAACAGACGGTCGCCGCTAGTTTTTGGCATAGGCAATATTTTTACATACACAGATATTGTACTTGGTGGAGCCAAATCAGAGCAAACAATGTTTACATGAAACTGAAGTTGCTTGCAACAGATCGCTCAGGTATCTGTATTTTGTGTTCCAAGAAGGGCAGTTTCGCATGGCCGAGTTCCAAGGAACTTAGTAGAATTGCATCTTAATTTTCGAGTGATAATCTCCTATAGCTTAAACCATTTTCGTTTGGAGTAAAAATTTTCACAGGTTTCTTCTGTAAGTCAGTCATTGCACCTAGATGTTTTGACCTGTTTAGGTGCGTTGCAGCCAATATATTCACCGACGGTAAATCAGCGGACATTATCGGCTTTCGCTATATCGATAACAGTCGATAACCGGTATTAGAGGAAATCGTATATCGGTCGATCTCTATGTTTAAGGAATGCGTATGTTTCTGGATGAGTATAATGTTCATTTTACGTTTGTTCTAGAAGTGATGTGGAGCCAGCGGCAGCAATACACCAAGCACTGATAGGTGATAATCTCATGGAGAAGGATAGGAAACTTTCGGAGCTTATCTTTCAATTGCAGATGGTCCGAGAGCAGCTTCTCACGCAACAACAGCAACAGGAAGCTACCAAGGTAAGATTTGAGATGCTTTATTTACTTTCTTCGACCTATTTAAATACATTTACAATTTCTGATGTAAATGTGAACCTTTATAGGAAAATTGCCTTGCAGTGTTGCATTGAGCATTCTCTTTCGTGTTACTCAAATCAATATTCTTGAACATGTAGGTATATAGTGTATTTACACCCAAGATAGAATGGATGCGTGATTTCCAAAAGCAAGGACGGCGTACAGGGCCGCATTCATGGCTACCTCCGAATGACGGACTACCACCAACGTGTTGTAAAACAAAGATGACAGTATTTAACAGAAACAGAAACTTAACAAATTACTCAAATACACTTAACAACAACAACAAACAAGCAAGGTGAATACGAAAACACGAGCACGCAGTGATACGCGCGACGGACGGTGGCCTGAGTGCAACTCTGCCTGCCCTGCCCCTGCCCCGCGCATTATTCCGCCAGGCGACCGCTTAAAATTTAATGGCGAATTGACCAATAAGAGGCGTTGTGCCCATCTGTTACCGAGAGATATCAACATAACAATAACTACCGGTAGCAGGATCTACCTTCATTTGAGTTGTGCGGCTCCTTGCAAATCGTAAAAGAAGTATTATGTCCTCAACTCATCTAACACCAAAATTATCTGCAAACACTCGCACTTCTAAAAAACAACACTTAAACTGCAAATTCAATCACAGAACTGTCAAATAACTAAGATCCACTTTTATCTTGACTACAGACCGAGATTTTGGAAACAGGCCTACTCCTTCTACCCACGAGTGGTCTGAATTCGCTCACACTGATGACAAAGTTTTCCGCCATACCAGCAAGCATCCGTCGGCATCCCGAGGTATCTCGCCAATTTACCGCGGTATGTCTACAATGTCAACAAATGACTGGATTATTCTCACAAATTGAGTGAAAACAATGATCCTCTATCTTCCATTACACTATCCATGATGGCGTGCAAAAGCAAGTAGCAGTTAGTTGTGTTTGGAATCAGCTTCCGCAGCATGCAATTTCAGCATCTCAAGTAGTACATCTAAGACATAGCTTACTTTATGTGTCTATTACAAATTTAAATTATCTTCGCAACTTAATGGTCCACCCTGTATAAATGTACCAGTTTCTAAACATTTTGTTAGCTTGGCGACATTACCTCGATGTATGGCCCAGCCATTTATGAAAGAACTGCCAAACCAAATGGTGTTTGCTCGTAAATCGCTGTGTTTGTCGCAGGCTAAACCCAAGGACAATGGAACCGGTCGGCGGATTTCAAACACATTATCCGAAGACTTCTCTAAGAGAGAACACCCTTCCCCAAAACAGACGAAAGCTCAACCTCCCAATTCGCGTGTTCCCCCACTCCACACGCTCCAACTGCGATGTTTAACATCGGCCTCCACCCCAGAACAATACCCAACACGGCAGGCGTTGGCGCGTCGTATGGCAATTGTTTTCGGGCTAGCTGGGATTGTCTGACGGCTCCCACGCGGCGCGCTCACTGATTGGCCGATCGCCTTGGGCTGGCGCAGCCGATTGGCTGCATGCATCCGGTGACGGATGAGTCGGTTTTCTCTGACAGGTGGGATAATCATATCATAGTTGGCGCGGTGGTGAACAATGGAGAGGCGGACACGATACGGTTGGTAGCACTGGCTTGGCATGTTTGCGGGGGCGGACTGTGCACGGTCCACGGTATGCCGTGATCTCTGCTAGCGAACCAGTGATTGTTGTAGGAGTGACTGCTTGTGTTTGTTTATGGTGCTCATGAGTGCACTGTATTCCAATACATAGTGAAACGACAAATCGTTACAGATATCCCAGCTTATTTTAGCAGTAACTACGATTCACGAGACGTGTTTATATCAAGGGTGGATGCCTGGGAAACACCGTCGTTAACAGTGTGCTCTTCAATGCGTAGGAAAGCAACATGCTATTACGCTATGGGCCCAAATGCTCAAAAATCAAACAAAATTTCAATGAATATCTGAGGAAACCTCCTCGTTTCTTCAATTTTCCCCAACGGTAAAGTAGGGCTCGATTTTCGTTGTGCTATGAGACCATTCCAACCGCATTCCCCGAGCTTCCTGTGTGCCCAGGGGCTCCTACATAGCTTGAGACAGCTCTGGCAACATGCCATAGATAACTTAAAGGTTAAACAGGCAATATATAAGGTAGGACAAGTATAAACGTAGGCGTCCGAACAGGGGTCTGTACTAGGGCCGATAATTTGCTCACTATTATTTCAATACCCTTGAGATAGCGCGAAGCGCCAACTATCGCACCAGAATCGAACCATTGTTCGTCCAGACATAAGACACTCATACCATGCTGATGAGTAGTTAAGAAGCACGAAACAGCTGTCCATGGTTGGCTGTCTTCTTATCTTGGTCGGACAGACGAAGGCATCTCATTTTATTTTGACCCTTGAGATATCTTGCACTACAGTTCATTTTATATTATATGCAGGCCTTCAATTATATCTGATAAAGATAATTGAATGTTGAAGAACATTGGCATCAGCTTACTCAGCATCATCAATAACGAGAACCAGCTTAAACTTAACTTCAAATAAAACGCTAGAATTAGAGTAACGACTCTTGATAGTAATGAGGAAACGAAGTTTTTGAGGCTTTACTAAATGATTGTGTTAGGTTCCAAACGCATTGTAAACATGTAAGCAGCAAGATAAATTCGCTACTTATCATTTTGTTTAAAAACCTCAGATCAGCTCTTAATGAAACCCAGTTATTGTGTCGTCTGCACTATGCGTCATAATTTTGGGGCTGTTCAGCTAATGCTCAAAAAATACTTTTGAACTAAAAGAGGGTCGTTCGATTTGAGGTGGGAGCTAAGATTACACATAACTGTAAAGAGCTATTCAGAAAATGGAAAATTCTTACATGGCCTATTTGTCAACAATAAGTCTTAACTCCAAATAAAGACATACAGGGTGGCGCATCGAAAACGAAACAGACGCACTTACTGGCAGCTCAGTTTTTTGAAAAACGCTCAGACCCGTCGATTTTGTTTTCGAGGGGACACAAGTTTGGCAAAAAATCACGTTAGCACGTGCAGCGCCCTAAGCGGGGGTGACCCCACCCCTAAAATCTTAAATGAAAAGGGGGGTCGAGTGATACTTTATTTGAAAGGTCTTTCAATTCCCTTTATAATGATATAAAACTAATGTACTTCAGTTCAGTAGTTTTGAAGATTTATTGATTCAAAGCTTAAATAAGACTAATATATGTACATCATCATTAGTGGAGATCAATACATTTGGCAGCAAAGTAATTTAAAAATGAAGAATGAACTGACCCGTTAGGTAAGTAAATGTTGAAAATGGCCGCCATGACTCTCCATGCAATAATAAAGATTTCGCTCAAAACGTTGCCGCACATTTTGCAATATTTGAGGAGTAATTTAAAGGCACTCATTCACAATTCTTTGTCGTAGGTCTTCTAATGATGTTGGCTGAGTAGCATAGATTTTGCTTTTTAAATGACCCCACATAAAGAAATCCAAAGGTGATAAATCTGGCGATCTTAGGGGCCATTCAATGGCAGCCCTTCTACCCATCCATCGATCTGGAAACATCTGATCTAAATATTATCGAACACGTAATGCGTAATGTGGTGGGGCACCATCCTGTTGGAACATCAACCTATTCGCAATGTACCGCCGATCATTCTGATTTTCAATTATGGCTGTTAATGCAGGATCTATGGCGTCTTCCAGTAATTCCAAATACATTTCACCGGTCAAATTTCCAGAAAAAAGGACCAACTAAATGATCGCCAAAAATACCAGCCCAAACATTTAATTTTTGTGGCTGAACCTCATGATAAATTCTGGGATTAGAATCGGACCAATATCGGCAGTTATGACGATTTACTACGCCATTTAAGATAAAGGAACATTCATCGGAAAAGTAAGTGTTGAATAGAAAATGTTCATCGTTTATAATTCGTTCACTCATATCTTCACAAAATTGTAATCGACGATCAAAATCGTCTTCATTAAGTTCTTGTACCAGGTGAATTTTATACGGATTAAAACTATGGGCCTTTAGAATCCGTTGGACAGTACGTCGACTAACATCACACACAGTCTCCAATTTGCGGGTACTTAACGTAGGATCTACATAAACTTGCCCTAAAACCCCCACTTTTATTACTTCATTCCTTATGGGATTTTCAATGTTGCGTTTTTTATTGGCGACTGACCCAGTTTCCCGAAATGAAATTTAGCTACAAATTCTAGAACATATTTTCATGTCGCTCATTAAATATTTTGCTGTTATATTAGCGCACTGATTAGGTATTTCCGAAAAATATTTCGATAATTTCAACTCTTTCTGCTGTGGAATATACCATGTTTAATTTATATAACAAAGCGTTACAAGTTATTTTAGCAACAAAGTTTGGTCAGATCAATCGCAAACTATGTACTAAATTCCTATTTAATATAAGTACGAGATATTTCCTTATCTTTCTTTAAGAAATAACTTTTTTGTCACAAAAAAACGCTCCAAAAGCTATTTTCAACAACAAAATGATAAACAAACCATGGGCGTAGTGAAGAAAAGAATTTACTTATTAAGTAAATTCTTTTAGTCAAATTTCTTCTGAAAGTAGTACAAACTAATCTGGTATACCTATTAAAGTCTACTTTAAATCAATAAATCTTCAAAACTACTGAACTGAAGCTCATGTATTTTACATCATTATAAAGGGAATTGAAATACCTTTAAAACAAGGTATCATTCGACCCCCCTTTCCATTTAAGATTTAAGGGTTGGTGTCACCCCCGCCCAGGGGGCTGCACGTGTTAACGTGATTTTTTGCCAAACTTATGTCCCCCTCGAAAACAAAATCGACGGGTCTGAGCGTTTTTCCAAAAAAAACTAAGCTGCCAGTAAATGCCTGTTTCGTTTTTGATGCGCCACCCTGTATATGTACATAGTATTATCACTCAACAGAAACTGGATATACATGTACCTTTTTTATGAAATAAAAACTTTGATGAAGGTCTCCAAAAACGGTGAGACGAAGAATCTTTAATAAGTGACCAGATGATTTGAAATGGATAAAAAGCTAATCTAATTTTTGTTTTTTTTATATATTCCTGTGTTTGTATTTTTTGTATAAC